ATTTTATACCTCCCATTATTCGATTTTATGTCTTAATTTATTTGCTCTAATAAATATATCAATATAAAGAGATGAGCTCTTGAAACAAAATATCTCCGGCATAGCATTGCAATCATTACTTTAAAACATATATATGAATTACTAATATGTTAAATTATATCTCAGAATGGCATTTATAGACCTATCACATCTTGAATTAAATAATAAATTGAATAAAAGAAATATTATAAACATCGTATGGGCCATTCATTCCATGTCAAATAGATCAAAAAAGGTACTTTTTCGGCCGGTCCCTTTTAAAATTGTTAAAATTTTTTGAAACTATTTAGATAAATAAAAGAATGAGAAAGCCGTTTATTTTAGCTCGCTAGCACATCTGGTTCTCGAGATATAGGGGCTCAAAGGTACAAAAAAGAGCCACTTTGGAATCTGTAAAATGTTTAAAATGCTTCTATTTCAAAAACTATTTATAGTAAAAAATATTATAATATATCATTTTGTAGGTAAAAAAATTCTCTAATAGGCTAACAAAAAATATTAAGTATTGGCGCCATTATATGCTTTAACATCCAGTTTACCTAAATTGCTTTACCTGTATTTTTAAACAAAATAGTGAGTTTGTTTTCGAATTTTTTTTTGTTTTTTATTTAGACACCTATTACAAATATATATAAGATGTCAAAACCTTGGCGACGCTATCAACTTTTCCATAATATACATTTTTACCAAAAATTGTAGAAAAAAGTAGATGGCGCTAATGGTTGAAAAATTATATTTTTAAGGAAAATAAAAATATTGATACGTTTATAAGAATTGTGATAAAATTTTCCAGTTCTGCCCCCCCCCTCCCACTATCCTAAAAATGTTTTACATTTTTTAGATCTCTACTTTGCTATTATAGCGAGCGAATGACTTATTAGCTTGATAATATATAACAGCTGCAGTAAACGAATATTTTATTAAGCATATATTCGATTATATTTTACAAAAAAAATTGTTTAAAACGATTTTTAACCTGTCCGTTCAGATTAATTTTATCGTCTGTCTACCAATAACAATCTGGATTTGGAGAGTGCAAAAACATGTATTCTAGGTGTAGATCAATTAAAATTTTATTCTACATCACAGGTTGACTTACCAAATATTAAAATGTTACACCCATTTAATCTACAGAGACATGCTTATTATCGCGAGAATCTAAGAAAGATTCTATCCGGGATGACGCAAAAAAATTTACCATTCAATTTAGATATGTTAATATGCTCATCATGGCAACAAAAATTAGCAAACATTCCTTATAATTCAAATAACAATGTAGATGTTGATTCTCCCCTTCTTATAAATCAAGAGACTATTGATAACATTAATATATACCTACAATCAAATGGGGTATCTCTCATTAAAATAAAACGCTTATTTGAAAAGAGATATTCGAAAGTAAAAAAATGTTTTAACGACTAAAATTATACCATTAACTTCATCAAATGATAAAAAATTCGATAAAATTGTAGGCACCTTAAAAATTAAAAAAATTATATGAAAGATATTTATTATTGGAAATTTGTTAATTAAGGTCTAATGGGCATATGCCCACTCTGCTCCTCAGTTAATTAGTATATTTAATAAAAAATCAAAATTTTTAGTATAAAAGTGAAAATATCTGGTTATTAATGAGTTAGCATCAAAATTTTAACCATAATCCGTAATTTCATAAAGCGCCATCTATTTTTTCATCAATTTTTGGAGTCGTCGCCAAGGTTTTGATATTGTATATATATTTAGCAAATAAAAAGCAATAAAAAAAAATCGAAAACAAACTCACTATTTTGCTTAAAAAAACAGGTAAAGCAATTTAGGTAAACCGGATGATAAAAGCCTATAATGGCGCCAATATTTATTATTCTTTGTTAGCTCATTAGAGAATTTTTACAAATGATACATTATAATTTTTTTTACTATAAATAGTTTTTGAGATATAAGCATTTTACAAATTTTACAAGTTCCAAAGTGGCTCTTATTTGTACCTTTGAGCCCCTATATCTCGAGAACCAGGTGTGCTAGCTAGCTAAAATAAACGGTTTTCTCACTCTTTTACCTATCTAAATAATTTCAGAAATTTTTAACAATTTTAAAAGGGGTCGGCCGAATCGTGATCGATTTGACGTGGAATGTATTCAAAAAGTCCAAGTGTCGAATTACAATTAAGCTGTTCTCTTCATATATAATTATTTTTTTCCGAAAAAGCAAATTAAATAGTGAATGACATTTAGGCATAGGACCGAATTATTGTGATAGCGATATTTAGTTTAAATGTTTATAAAATGGGGAGTAAGTTTTTCTTCTTTATGGACAACCAATTTAGAAAGATTCAAGCCTTGCCCCAAAGGAGTAGAATTACATGGTAACGATGAGGACAAAGTAGTTATAACCTGTCGGATAGGAATATTTTTGACATTTTAATGATTCAGATCTGAGAAAAGTCATGTAAATAATTAGAAGGGGCAAGGGGATCTATGCAGGTAATATCCCAGAACAAAGGTTTGCTGATACAAATGGGGAATAAAGTTAATTAAATTTGAAAATAATGTTAACTACCATGATTCAAAATTTTTATACATAACTCCCTCTCCCTCCCTGAACATAGAAAAAACCTGGATATGCTTATGGTTCTCCGATAAATTGGAAGATAACTATGGATCTTAAGGCATAGAGATTTTTAGGAATGTTGGGAAAGTTTTTTTTAATTATGAAATCGCCTTGTGAGCAGAAAGCGAATATAAGAGTTTCCGAATGTTTTTGACGGCTCGAGAAGGTCTTCTTAAAAAAATGTTTATTCGCACACGTATTATAAAGATACCATACCCGAATTGGAGAAGATAATCCGCTTGGGTATCCCCCTCATCTCTTATAATGTTGCATGCTTTTGCGATCTTTTCAGGCGATTCAATATTTGTATCATTCCATCTACCGCACATGGAGATTGAACTAGCAATTGATGATCAAGACCTAGAGAAAATAAAAGTGGCCTTTAAGGTCCCTCTCGCAGTTTGATCCCAAAATTGTTGATGGGAAGAATCTTGGTAGTAACATATTACGTAATAGCATAGTTTCTAATAAATTCGATAAGAAAATGTTTCCTATGGAGTGCAATGTAGGGCATTGCGAAAGTCTATTTTCATAAGATATGCATTTGAAAGTTCATTTTGAAGATATATTCCGGCAGCATGAGCCGTTGTTTCGTAACCATTTTAGCTGTGTAGATGCAGAAAAACTGAAGCAACACAGGAGATTATTTTTGTGCACAGTTGCATAATTAGTATATTTTTTAGCCGTTAGAGTCCATTTTTAGCTGGCTCAAAAATTGGCTAACCCAAGTTGTTATCCGAAAACTATCACTTTTAACAGCTCAAATTATGAGTTACTTTATAATAATTTGAATCGCCAATATTTTAATATACTTATTTTAATTTGAAATTACCTTCCATTTCTTATTTTTAAAAAATTACTAATTATACGATATAAATAAGTAAATGAATAATTAATTTTTATCCATCAACATAGGAAACTTTTCTTTTGTATTAAAAATAACATTTATAAATAAACAATTATATAATAAAATCTCATTTCTATAATGATAAAATAATATAAATTTCAATAAAAAATACATATATTATTAATTATTAATATATATTTAATGGCCAGAATTTTTAATCCAGAAATTCGAGGAGCTAGAAAAATTTGAGTAATAATGTTGAAAAATAACTCAGCATAAACTGTATTTTCTATAAAACATTGGTTAAATTTTTTGCTTCTTCATAATGTAATTAATATCAAATATTTCGCAAAAATTATCATTCCATCTCTTAATTTAAATATAAAAGAATATAATTGATTTTTTACCGTGATAATCGCAGAAGATCACAACCATCGGCATGAAGAATATTAAAAGCAATTTACACATTATATTTCTAAATAAAATTAATTTGATTGTTTTTTAAAAAAAAAGTATATTAATAATTCAAACAAATTTTTTTATTATGAAGTTTTAGAAAAATATTTAATGAAATTTTGTTATAAAATCATTTCCCAAAATTTAATTTATTAATAATATTTTTTATGAACTTTTTACAAATTGTGTTTACAAGGTTAAACCTTTTTTTTACAGAGCTTTGCAAAAAAATAAAAATATTCTAACAAAACTACCCACCCCCCTTTCCAGGCGCGTAACCAATGGGGGGAAAGGGGGAAATTTCCCCCCCCCATTGTAAATTTGACTGTTTTCATAAATATCATTTTAAGCTAATAAAAATTTTACTCACCCCCCCCCCGCCCCCCCCCCTATAAATCAAAATTTTACAAATATTTGAATATCAATTTTCCAACATAAAACTTTATAAATAAATTTTTTTAAAATTTCCTTTCCTTGTGAGTACATTAACATTATTCAAAAAAAAATATAAAAAATGGAGAAATTTTTAGTCAAAGACAAAGATATTGAAAACAAACGGTATATAATTTAATTAATATATCTAATTTTATATTTTTCATTTTTCTTTAGAACAGAAGATATACAAAATAAATAGGTCTGAGCATGAAAAAAATGTACAAATAGAAATTGAAGGAAATAATGATAAAGGTAGGTAGCAAGCACTAGCATATATTTTATAAAAATTAAGTTAGGCAGTTGGTGAATATTATAAGAATATTAAATTTGATAGATATTAATAGTGTGGAATTTTTATTTGATCATAACAATTGCTTATTAAATAATATGTTCATTTCAGTAAGAATAAGCATTTTAATTTTAATGATAGATTTGATAGATATTAATAGTGTGGAATTTTTATTTGATCATAACAATTGCTTATTAAATAATATGTTCATTTTCATTTCAGTAAGAATAAGCATTTTAATTTTAATGATAGATTTGATAATTATAATAATTTTTTTAATGTTAATTTTGGCCAGATAACCTGTCTATTATCATTAAATGCTTTTATATGTACATTAATGAATGTTGGTAATAATAATGTCTTTTAGGGCAACCGTGGGATATATATAATTTCCTAAAGAATGATTTAATTCCTCAAAAAAAACTGGAGATTTTGGAAAATATATATCAACCAGATATAACTTTCCCATTTATTAGGGACACGACAACAAAAAAATTAAAGTTCCAATATGTTTGGTTATCAAGGTGGATATGTGCATTTTCACCTACCATTAATGGTGCATTTTGCAAGAATTGTGTTTTATTTGGTCCCAAATTTGCTGGAAGGGCTCAGCAAAAATTACAGAGCTTAGTATTAACATCATTTACTAAATGGAAAGATGCTACTGAAACTTTTAACAACCATCAAAATAATAAGTATCATATTAATGCAGAACAAACAATATATTCCTTGCGATCTATCAAAAATGGAGAATCTATGGATATTATTAGAATAATAGATACTGGAAAGCAAGAACTAGCTTTGCAAAATAGATCAAGACTAACGCCAATAATTGACGCTATCCTGGTATGTGGCATCCAAGGTATCGCTCTTAGAGGTCATAGAGATAGCGGTGCGATATTTGATAATGATAATAACAATAATGATGGTAACCTAAGAGCTATTCTTCGAAATAGATCTCTTGGAGATCCCATACTTAGAGACAATTTGTTAAATTGTTCTAAAAATGCGACCTGAGCCCAATAAAATAGAATGAAATCATCGATGCCTGCAATGAATTAATATTGAAGAAAGTTATTACAAATATCAACAAATCACCCTACTTTTCGGTCTTGGCTGATGAGACAACAGATGTCTCTGGAGTAGAACAAATGTCTTTATGTGTGCGCTATATAAGCCTGGATGGTAAGCTTATAATTTTATTAATAATAAAAAAAATTATACATCATAGGTGATATACAAATATTAGAAGAATTTTTACAATTTATACCAGTTGTGGATATGAGAGGGGAGGCCCTCGCCAAAACTATTTTGTTAAATTTAGAGAAATATAAGTTAAATTTAAATTTGATACGAGGACAAGGTTATGATGGTGCTCCGGCTATGAGTGCCCATTTAAATGGTGTCAAAGCACATATTTTAAAAAAATATTCCTCCGCTATATATGTTTATTGTGCATCTCATTCGTTGAATTTGGCAATATCCGATTCATGTGCTCTACCTTCTATACGCAATTCCATGTATATTTTAACTTATAAATAAAATAAATTAAATATATTTTTAGCCATTATATCCAAAATTTATGATTTTTTTAAATATCCCAAACGGTCAGATGTTTTGAATCGAACTATATCAAAGAATGCACCAGAAACACATCATCAAAAATTAAAAAAAATGTGCCCTACACGATGGGTTTTACGTGATTCAGTTTCGGCATTTATAGAACTCGAAGAGATGATAAGAATATCTTTACATGAAATTACCAAATGGCAAGATAGTAATGTGTCGTCAGAAGCGATATCATTATTGAATTCAATTGATCAATCAGAGTTTATCATTGCTGCTAGTTGCATCAATAAATTATTTTCTTATAGTTCAATACTTTGTAGAAATCTACAAAAACCAAATTTAGATTTGGTTCAGGTAATTGATTTGGCAGAAAATATATATGAACAGGTGGATGAAATAAGAACGAATGTCGATGAATATTTTCATAATATTTATGTAGATATTGAATCGAAGGCTCAAATTTATGATATATCAATAATTAAACCTCGTCTAGCACCAAGGCAATTAATGAGATGCAATGTAAATATTGGATCAACTGAAGATTATTATAAAATATCTATTTTTATCCCATTCTTGGACACTTTTTTATCACAAATAAAAGTACGATTTTTAGATAAAAAAGAAGTCTTTGCAAATCTTCAAGTTTTATTGCCCAAAGATCCCTCCTCGTTTTCTCATGGCACGATTAATAAAATAAAATATTTAGCCAAATTTTATTCGTACGATATTGATTCGGAGATAAATTTAATCAGCGAATTTGAATTATGGTATAGATATTTATTACGTTTACCTATTTTACCTGAGCATGCCAATGATGCGCTAAATCGTTGTAAAGATATCTTGGCTCAATTTCCCAATATTTTGAAGTTATTTTATATTCTTGCATGTTTGCCTATTACAACATGCACGAATGAAAGGACATTTTCAAACTTGAGAAGGTTGAAAACATATTTACGAAGTAATACTTCCGAATCTCGGCTAAATGGGTTAGCTCTGTTAAATATCCACAGAGATTTGGTTCCCAGACAAACGAAATTCTTGATACATTGGCAACATTCCCACGAAAATTAAAAATCACATTATAATTATAGTATTTAATAAAATATTCTGTATAATATTGTATTTGATAAGAAGTTAAAAAAAACTTGTTTTTTTAAATTATTTTTTAGTCAATGTTTTACTGTGGTATTTTCAATAAAAAAAAATTTATGCTACTTATATTGTATGAGAATTTAAGCAGAGGCTAGTTTTTAAAAAAATGTTAAATGACATTTTATTTCAACTTTACATTTAAAAAAACTTTATTAAATATAACATACCTAACTTAAAATAATAAAAAATAGGCTTGTAATATCATTAGGCACAAATTAGTAAATAAAAGTTAAAAAAAGATATATAATTATATGAAAAATTTAATAGAATAGTAAAACATAAGACCCGGCCAAAGGCCGGGCAAAAGCTGGCCGAAGGCCAGCTAAGAGGGTTTGGGGGCGAAGCCCCCAAAAAATTTCCCCCCCCCCCCATAGGAAAATCCTGGATACGCCACTGCCCCTTTCCCTCTGTTTGTTTCTTTAAATTTATAATGATTATGCCCTAAAAATCAAGAAAAAAAATATATAGACACAATATATCTAAAATCGCGAAAATGATAATTTTCCAGTTTCTGAGCAAAGAATGCAATCAGATAATTGAGCATCTTTAATTAACTTAATAAATATAAATATATTTGCACTTAGAATCCTTTATCGATATATTTTATTTACTTAATTAAAAATATTTAAATATATTAAGAATCGCCATCAAATTTGTAGTTTATGATGTAATAAATAATAGTGGCTCTTACACTTTTACACTTTCTGAGCGATGGATGTTAATTATTTTTTTGACACCCATTAAATTTCCAAAATAAATTTTATTGCATCAATCCTTAATGTATTATAATATAAACATAATATATACTTTAAAAATATTATTTTTGAATTAATGATGTAGACATAGTAGGGGAAGAGAAAGCGAAAGAAAAATATAATTTCTTCAATATTTAAATGTTTAAATAAAAAAAATTTGCCGTTGATTAAATGGTAATTATTAAGAATTGGATCTTTCGTGGTGCTACGAAGTCTCGTTTTAATTAATTTAATTTTACTCTTAAGGCAGTACATGAGATAATAAGGAATGGGTAATAAATATTTACAAAATTGTTAAATTAGGGAAAGCAGAAGTATTTATAGACGATAAGGTAAAATAAATGTATAGTTTTTCCAGTCTGAATCATAAGTTTCAGAATTATCATCATTAAAAGAAGTAGAATTTAAATTATGTAATTTGTAAAAATATTTTAATTAAATAAATTTAGAATTCTTAGAATCAGACAAATCTTTAGATTCTTTAACCTCTAGATCATGTGTAATTTTTGCATCCCTTGTTTTAGCTATCTTATAAATATTTCGAAACTAACTTTTCTTCAAAAATTTGATTCTAGTTTATTGAAAATATATATATTTCTAACTTGGAACTTTTAAAATCAAAAGGTAGATTTCTCTCCTTTATAAAATCTTGTGCCTTACCCAAATATTCAGTGTTATTATCTATTAGGATTAAAAAAATAAAAGACAATAATTTAAATTATACATCTCAATTAATCAGGCAATTAATTGTCAGTTGAATTTGATTCCTTGCAAACCCTAAATCCTTCGAAATGTTTTCAATTTTGTAACAGCCAAGCTTGTTATCAACGATATTTTATCCAAAACACAAAGTAATAAAATAAAATCAGTTTATTCTATCTAAAGACTGTCATTGCCTTAATTAGTATGGTTAGAGGGCTCGATTTTTAATAATTGATCCAAAATTTTAGTCCGGAAATATGCAGGTGAAAGACTCGAAATTAGGTAATCAAAGAAGTTTTTCACAATGGTAAATCCAAATCCTTCTGTTTTAAAGAGATCGGAAATAGAGTTATGGTTGTGACGGGTGCCCACTCCGTCATAGCTGTTCAAGAAATGATTGTCGTGAATTAACAGATGTTGGTCAATTAATCTTTGTACCTGGAGATGGCTAGCAATGATTTCACATATTGAGATCGACAGTGGAGATCTTATACCAAGACCACCATGTTTGGAATTAAGTGTGGCTTAATGCCAAGCAATGTCTCTAGACTTGATATTTAAGCAATCACTAAGAATTACTTACTCTGGTTTTGGATCTTATTAGAAGCACTCTCTCTAAAAATAATGGGCTCGATAGGAGGGCGTTAAGATTTTAGGGATGTTGAAGGAATTAATAATTAAAAAAAGGCCTTGTGAGCCGAGAAACAGAAAACAATGCGTTTTAAATTTTCTAAAATATCGTCCATATCACTAACAAAGAATTAACTGACTCCACCAATGGGAGAGATAATGCGATAAAAATTTTAAGGGTACATGTTTAAAGCCATAAACATTAAATGGAATTGTATTGATTTCACAATATTCGGTTTTGGTTTGGTTGATTATAAGTCCGAGGCTGTCAGTGGAAGCCTTAGTAATGTTAGCATTTTCCACCTCCACTGAATAACCTGAGATGTCCCCATCATCTATATACTAAATGTATTTTAATCAAATGATGAAATCTTAGACAAAATAATATGGAGCCTAGGGGATCACCTTGCTGAATACCTTCAGAGGAAGTTAAGATATAATGGCTAAATACCAAATGGGATGGTTTCTTATAGGGTGAAAGGATATAGTTTGTACAAACTGGGTTATGATATGTGAAAGGATTACTTTCCCGTGAATACTTAAGCATTTTTAAAGTTGATTTTAATAAGATATTAGCGATTGTAGCATTCTGAACATAAATACTATTTATATGTGCAGCCACTTCACATCCTGAGCTCGTTCCAACACCTAATTGAGGTGAAAGAAGTATGTTAGAAACCTGTGCAGAAATCCTACTTGCTATAATCTTGGAACATAATCAGGGCGACAAGTTTGGCTCCAAAAAAGAGGGCCCTTGCCAAATCTGGGAATTCATCATTGATGACCTGCATAATTGAGTTATTTTATTCAATAAATAGGTTAGAGTTGAGAATGGAGTAGTTAAATCTTGAAGAAATAAAGGTTCGATGCCTTCAAATCCAGGGGCCACGTCTTTCTTAAAAGATATCACTGATTTAAATACTTCTTCCGAAGTGAAAATTGTAAGGGTTCTTGGTTTTACAAATCATTATAGCTTCCGATTTTTTGGGATACTTATCTAGTAGTCTTTGATATAATTGCGCGTTTTCTGGAGTAAGTGTGTCAGAGGAGCTGAATAGTCAAAGAGCAGCATTTATGTTCAGATTGTGTATTTTATTGTCGTTTAGCTTACCTTGAATTTTAAATGATCCTGTTTTTTGTTGCAGGTGTGAGTTATGATATCATGGAGTTCATAATTGATATTAAGATGCTAGTCTAATATTCCTAATGAATGAATTGCCATTCCCAGCAGAAATTTGGAAAGATTTGTGACCGAAGAAAGGCTGACCATGGAGTTTAATAGCCTATCAATACATTGAGAATAATCGGTAGAAACAACTTTCTCTTGGCTGGAAACCAAACGTTGTTTGGGTAGTCCAAGGAATTGATCAATAAAGGAATTGGTGAAATGAATATCAGTGATATTAGATTCAAAAATGTTTGTTGTTACAATATTAGCATGATTTGATGTAGATGGAACAGACAACTGTGCCACAGGATTCAAGAGGGAACTGGGAGGGATTGCCTGGGAGAGGGGAATAGAGGGGACTGAGGAAAGGGGGCTCTTTGTCCATTCTCACTATGAGTCCTTAAACGGCCATTCCCAACTATAGAGTTTCTGAATTGAGAACAGAAACATCCATCCATTTCGAAATACAAGTATATATATAATCGATCAGGAAATATATCGTGTTTTTAACATTTAGACATTATTACTTCGAATAATTTTTCGTAAGTATTTTGTGTTTTTTTTGGAGTTTAATAGCTGTTAATGATTGTGGCATTCACTTGTAAAATTATTTATCAATATTAATTATTGCTAGGTTATACTAAAAAAAAATTAAGTGAAAATGAGAAGAAAAAAATTGAGAAAAGATCAGAAAAATAAAGATCAACAATGACTTAAAGCAAAAATGGGAAGAAAAATCTAAATTGAGAAAAAAATTTAAAAAAAATTGACAAAAATTTTTTTTTTTAAATTAACGATTTTAAAAAAAAAAAATTTTCCTTGAGGTTTTATCCAGGGGGTTTTTTTTCCTATTACCGAATTAATTACTCTTTTTTATCACTTGTAATTCTTTAGACGCAATTTTTTTTTTTTATATCAGCTATCGAATGTATTTTATACTGTAATAAATAGATTTTGTATTAAAAAATATTATTTTTAGTTATCTTGTATTGTTTTAATTATTTAAATGCCAGTTTATTTTGTGGGAATAAAATACGAAATATGAAATTCAGAATAATTGTTCAGAGCTAGCAAATTTTAAAAGTAAAATATATAGGCCGAAGGCCCGCAAATGAGGGTATGGGGGCGAAGACTCCCATAAATTTTTTTTTAGTTGAGCCCCCTGAGATTTTAAAGGCTAGTGACGTCCCTGATCTAAGAACTGGGAAATATTAAGTAAGATAGTTATCTGAGTGGATCAAAATGTCAAAAAATTGGAGATACTTTTAATAATATTTTATGTTTATAATTATAAAATTGAAGCAACAATTTATTTTAATTAATGGTTACGAGTTAAATTATAATATTCTTGTCCAACAATTCTTCCATTATTATACCTTTAAGTAAAATTATTTAAGATTATATTTATTTGTTTTTTTTAGTATTGGTGTCGAAGAAATATTTGTTTATAATCTAATCATATTGAATAATAAACTATAAATAAATCTCCATATGGTATACCTTTGGCAGTCTATGTTTGTTGGGTTTTAGGGTAAAATTCTTATTATGCGAGAAAAACACAATAATATTATGATAAACCCGTTAATGTAACAAACTCATGGCGTGTATGGGGACTCAAATCAAATTTTTACAGCACAGGCCTCAGAACATCGAAAATAGTTTAA